CACAGTTAGTTAAGATTTAATTTTAATTTTATTAAACTCTATTTAAGAACAATTAAACAGTTAGGACAATTTCTCTATTGTTTTTTTCAAGATGTAAAATAGTTGAGGAAAGATCCGAAGTGAACGAAACGTTTTTTTGTTCCTTTGAATTTCGACGATTAACAGCTCGTCTTATTCAACTCGCGACCGTACATTTTTCTACCTTTCTTGTTCCTTGCAGCATATTTGGTGTCTCGCACCGTGTCTGCGCGTGTGGAAGATCACATGCGCGGCGATGCGAAATTTCTTGGCGGCAGTGACGCAGGCGATCGTACGGCCGATCATGGAGGGGTTGGGTTACCTCTGCTACAATATCCGTGTATTTAATCAGAGGCTACCGGATGGCCCTCACCAGAAGGAGGACCTGCTGATCGTGTAATCTGGCGATCTCAGCAGCGGCTACGATGGGCCTACTTTTCGCATGTGATAGCGGCTATCCGTTATCGCGGTTTCCGCATCCCTATGAGCTATGAACACGCCGCGATGTGATCGCGCGAACCGTGCATGTCGGTAGTGCTACAGCGTTTTAGAGTTAAGCGGCGAGGGTGGTGTCTATTATAATTATAAAACGAAACGCGAGCGAAACATACTATAATTGAATCGATCATTTCAAAAACCTCATAAAATAATTTTGAAATTGAAATATTACACTGAAAAAATTGATTAAATTTTAATAAATATTTGTTTGATAATAGTAAACTATATAACTAAATATCTATTAAATGTAAACATATATTTATTTGATACAAGAGCTATTAATTTAAGTATTACTTTTTATTAAGTAAATATTTATTTACTGTAAGTAAATAATTTATTAAAATTTTGTACATTTTTTTCAGTGTAGGGGATTTAGAATTTTTCGGGAGAAATATTATAGATACACAATTTTTTTCAAAAAGTACATTAAGCATTTTTTCCTAGACACCAAATCTACGAAACTGTCGTTCATAGGAGAAACAGTGATTTATAGTGACTTACATATGTATGTTTTCCTTACATTGTGTTCTGTAAAAGACGATCAATTTGAATCAATAATGAATCACTTTAGTATACTGAAATTCAATATTACGATTTTGTTATTTTTCATGAATTGTATGTATCTGTCAACAATAAAATTAAATCCTTTTTTAGGCTGCAATCTTGTTTTATAACATTTTTAGAAGTTTGTTATTACATTTACAGAATTTTCTAATTAAAAAACTATGTTATAAGTACGAAATACGCTCATTTACTTCAGAAACATCATAAGTCAATACCTTCGAAATTAATTTTCTTTTTGGAAATAAGTTTTAAAAGTGATATATAATATTCTATTCACTTATTGAGATAATGAGACATATTTTACATATCTTTAATTATTTTTACTATTACAGTTGTAAAAACTACAGAACTTTTTTTAGTCTAAAAGTTAGATTCTTTTATTTATAGGACGAGAAAAAGGACATTTCTGAAATGATCGATTTAATTTGTACATATTCAAACAATACAAAGTCTAAAATCGAGACATGAGACAATTATAATACGAATTTGGACCAATAAATTAAGTAAAAGAAATCTTATATTCATCAAAGAGCAGATCTTAAATATTTGACAAATATGTGACATTTTTTAAACGTCGAAAAAATTCTTTAAACCGTATTTCAGTCGTTTTTAAGACGTTTTACGTCCAGATTTAGAACTTTATATTGTCTGCGTAATATCGTAATAAAAGCGTGCGGAAACACTGACGGTCTATGGTGGGTGAGGAGGACAGACCGCGACATGCGCATCGCACGTAATACATAATCAGGGCAGTATATTTTTACAGCTCCTAGTTATAATTTGCGTGTCAAAGAATTTTTTCCGTTAAACTATCTGCAATATAGCGTGCAACGGCTTAACCGAAGTTAAGTGTACTAGTAAGTGTAAAGGTCTCTGCTGGCCTTGTAGGAGTATAATAATTTTAACTCATGCGCATGTCTCGGAGTGGACGCAGATCGGGAGTTAAGGAGCTCGAGCAGCTAGGCTAGTCAATATTTTACGCAGACCGGCCTTTTTCTCGTCCATTCTTGTCGTCCGCTTTTAAGTCCAAGACGAGAAGTCCTGTTGCTTTATTAGACAGGAAGGAATTACGAGAAGTGATTTGAATACACGAGCCGTCGAGCGTGATCCGTTTAGTAAAGTATTGATCTAAAATTCTAATCTAATTGGGAATGTAAATTATTAAATGAAAAAGAATGCGAGGAGGAGAAATAATTATTAATAAGATATATATATATAAATATGCAAAAGAAGTATATGTTTATTATGTCGTGTCGAAAGCAAAGAACGTTAGACAAAAATCCGTCCACTTTTCTGTATAATCGTACGATCAATTAATTAACGTAATTAATGTTTCTCGATAAAGCGATAAGGTAACACAGAGTTGTCGTACTTTCTATACTTAATGTTTATAGTGTAAAGTCATCGTTACCATGAGTGTGTGAAGTTAGCCTCCCTTTTCTCAAAAATTATAATTTTGACAACTGTTCCAGATTGTTTCCAATTTGTTCTACAATACATTGTTCCAAAGCGATATTACCTTATACCGAATGGTGCTCCAATAAAACGAAAAATAAAAAAAAACGATTATTTTCGTAGTCCCCTTTCTTGAAAAATCAAAGTTTCTTCTTGCTATAGATGTTCTAGTTGTTCCAAACATTGTTCCAAAAGGACAATTCGGTATGTTGAACGGAAATTGCAGAAAATAAGAATACATTTTCTTAACCGGGGTCTCTTTTTTTAATACTCAAACAATTCATTATCGCTATAGATTGCTCTAGTTGTTCCAAACGTTGTTCCAAAAGGACAATTCCGTAAGTCAAACGGAAATCGCGGAAAACAAAAAAAAAACATTTTTCGAAAAACGAATTCTCGGATCAAAAGTAAACGTATCATCTCCTTCTTGTTCCAATGCAGAACTTTATATTTTCAGTTGTTCTAGCTCTATGAAACAATTGTGCAGTATGAATCTCGTATCGCTATCAGTTCTTTAAAAAATCGAAAAGAAATGTATCTACCATCAAGACTAAACGTACGCTTCCTTTTGTCTTTCAATTGAGAATTTTTTGTTCTGAGTTGTTCTAATCCTACGTAATACAGTTCTGCAGTATGAATGTCGTATCGCTATCGGTTCTTTAAAAAATCGAAAAGAAATGTATTTTCCGCATCTATTATCAAGAGTAAACATACGCTTCCTTTCGTCTTCCAATTGAGAACTTTTTCTTCTGAGTTGTTCTAGTCCTACGTAACACAGTTCTGCTGTATGAATCTCATATCGCTATCGGTTCTTTAAAAAAAATCGAAAATGTATTTTTCTCATCTACCATCAAGAGTAAACGTATCCTTTCTTTCGTGTTCCAATTGAGAACTTCTTGTTCTGAATTGTTTTAGTTCTACGAAACACAGTTTTGCAGTATGAATCTTGCATCACTATCGGTTCCTTAAAAAATCGAAAAAAATATATTTTCTATTTATTAAAATTTGTGAATTTTCGGAAAACCAATAGTGATGCGGAATTCATAATGCAGAATTATATTTCGTAGGGCTGGAGCAACTCAGAACAAAAAATTCTCAATTTGAACACAAAAGAAAGAGTATGTTTACTCTTGATGGTAGATGTGAAAAATACATTTATTTTCGATTTTTTAAAGAACCGATAGCGATACGAGATTCATACTGTGTTTCGTAGAACTAGAACAACTGAAAATATAAAGTTCTACATTGAAATAAGAAGATGATACGTTTACTTTTGATCTGAAAGTCCGTTTTTCGAAAAATGTTTTTTTTTTATTTCCGCGATTTCCGTTTGACTTACGGAATTGTCCTTTTGGAACAATGTTTGGAACAACTAGAACAATCTATAGCGATAATGAATTGTTTGAGTATTAAAAAAAGGGGGGCCGGCTAAGAAAATGTATTTTTATTTTCTGCGATTTCCGTTCAACATACGGAATTGTCCTTTTGGAACAATGTTTGGAACAACTAGAGTAATCTATAGCGAGAAGTTTTTTGATTTTTCAAAAAAGGGGAGCTAACTTCACACTCTCCATTATCATTTTTTTCCTTTTGTATGCTCAAGCATTGTAGACGATTTCCGGATAATTTTCCGAAACTTAGAAGCTGTACATACGAACTTTCTGTATAAGAGAACTTTTGCAAATAAAATGTAGAACTTACACGAGAAAAATACTTTCAGGATTTTACATTTCGGCAACACGAAGTTGGGAGTCCTTATAAGGGCTCCAATTCACACTCACAACATTCGTGAGCATTTGACATTTAATAATTCATTACAATATGTATTCATTATAATATATTCATTTTTATGTGATATTTTTTATAATACTCAGTATGGTAAGTACTTGACAAAATACAGATGGCACTTTCTCCTCCCTTAATTAAATTTTGAAGAGAGTATGCTGTATTTCTAATGTTTACTTTAAAATTAAGTTCATCATAAATTCGGAGTAAATTTGGGAGATCCGCAGATTAGTTACATCTACTAAAGATGCAAATATATGTATAGTAAGAGAAAGGCTAAAATATATAATATTTCTAAAAACAAAGCTATCTATGCATCGATGTATATCGATATATATATATATATATATTTCAGTAGAATATGTATATCAATAGATTCTTCACACTTATAAGATATTTTTAAGTAAAATCAATAAATCAAGAGTTTTTTTTAGTAACAAGATAATGTCATCTTTAGAGTATAAAATCACTCCCTGCTTCAACTGATATTTTCTAAATTTATTAATTTATTTTTTACATACCTATATATATATATATATAAAGTTTTATTAAAATCAGGATTTAACACTTCGCGAGGTTTTTTCATGAGAAATGGCCATTCGAACTTGCCTCCGAATTGCTGTTAAGCCAATCATATTGCTGTGTAAAGTCTCACGATGTCCTCGACATCAGCAGATCAGCTGACTAGTCGTCAGCTGCTGCTTGATCGAAGCATATTTACCGAAAGTCATTGAATAAATATTTATGTCAAAACACTTGTTAAAAATTTTAATCGGTGCGGACGCGCCTTAAGGCACGGCCGATAAGAGCATTTTTTAACGAGATTAATAGTCAGTGTTTCGTCACTATCATCAGTCGTTAGTCAACATGGTGAGCCACATGCAGAGACTGTTGTTGAGAGCCGGCCGTTTGTGTTGTGTAAATTCCACGAGGAGTATCCTTTGGAAAATTTGAAAAAATTAGGATTTAGTCGAGTTTAACCGACTTTAGAACTCTTCGTTAGATCATGTGATCGTATATTAGAATTCATCATATTCGTCCTTAAATCTTGATCAGAGATTTCCGCCTCCGCTACGCTCCGAGCGAGACGTAAGTCAACTTAATTTTAGATCATATCTCTAATTATAACAAATAAAAGACACGTTGCCTCTTAATCATGACATGTGATGATTCATATTGTATGATGATTTATAGTCTTGACCTAAAATGTAGATGGCAGCACAATGCAGAGGCGCGACTCAATCGGTAGTTCGTTCTGCCGACATTATGATTTTGCTATCTCATCTTTATTGATAACTGATAAAATATATTTACCCTTTCATCGTTGTATATTACTATAATATTATACAAGAAAAAAATAGGCTATTCAAGCTAGTTCTCATTTATTATTATTATAAACTAAAGTCACAGTATAAAATAATTTCAAATAGTTCCAAACGTTTCGACCTTCAATATAATCCTTTTCAGTGAATTCTACATCGGCATACAAATTGAACATTACAATTAAAATATGGCTTTACGATTATTACAACTTCTTCATATTTTCTCCAATACTTACAGAAATCCATAATTAAGTTCCTTGTCATTTATGTGTCATTTAAATATTCATTAGCGTTTAGAATAGATTGTTTTTGTATCTTGTAATAATACATAACGTTTGTACTGAATGTTGTAAGAAAGGAAATTTGTAAAAAAATATTCAATCTCCTGTTAAAATAAAATCTCATAATATTTCATAATGTTTTGAAAACTTTTAATTTAAATTTATGAAAATTTCTAAAAAATACCTCTTAATTCTTTGAAGATGACAGCTTTCTAATAAAGAAACTTAAAGGCATGCACAAATTGACGTAAATGTGTGTATGTGTGTGTTTAATATAAATATAAAAATTAATTAAACCATAAAATCCTCAATACATTTTATTGTATTGTTAGATAAAAATGTATTTTATAATTCGAAATATTTGCATTTCACTTTTACAACTCGATTTAAATCAGTGTACAAAAACTTTAGTGTAGTTTCAGTCAGGGTCATCTTAAGAATTAATTCAAACAGCGTATAATTTCGATCGATCTTTTATTGAAAATAATTTTGTATTGTCTTGTGTTGATCGATCTTGTATTGAATTTCGTGGGTCAGTCGCTTTCGATTGGGAGGATCCGTTCAATCTAGAGTCGCAACTGACACAGGACGAAATCTTGATGAGGGATCAGTTTCGTTCCTACTGCCAGGAGCAGCTTCTGCCGAACGTGATCGAGGCGAACCGAAAGGAATACTTCGACCGAGAGATCGTAAAGCAGATGGGACAGCTCGGGGTGTTGGGCTGCACCATGAAGGGCTATGGCGGCGCCGGGGTATCCTCAGTGGCTTACGGGCTCCTCGCCAGGGAAATTGAGAAAGTCGACAGCGGGTATCGATCAGCGTTCTCGGTGCAATCTTCTCTCTCGATCGGTGCGATCTACATGTTCGGCAGCGATGCTCAAAAAGAGCGATTTCTGCCTAAAATGGGTACGTTCAAGTCAAGCGTTTCTTACGATAGAATTCTAGGATAGTATTATGTTCTCTAATTGCTAAATCATATAATTAGTATACAATTAATTTACAATGGCTTTAAGAATAAATTAATATTATTAAAAAGGAGAGTACAAAAGCAACGCAAGTTTTAGTGAAAACATATAATTAGTAATAATAATAATTGTGGAATTAATAATAATAATAATAATCATCGTGATAAAGGATCAATTAAAGTTGAAGATTATACCTCACATATTGATTGTGTGATTGACTAATTAATATGTTCTTCTTTTATATGTAAACCATATTATTGACGATTTGGAGTTGTAAATATTAAATTAATATAAATCTTATATATATATTATTTTTTTCTATCTCTAACAATAAGTAAAGATATTTTTCTATTGTTGAGAAAATCATAAATTATTTAGATACAAGATAATTAATAACTATTCTAAATTATATAAGAAAATTGCCAGAGAAAGAGAGAGAGAGAGAGAGAGAGATTCTAGAATTTTATACAATTACTTATTTCCGATAACTATGAGAAACAAAGTAGAAATAAAGTATTTAATTTTTATATTACTTATGAAAATTAGACCGACAATTAGATTAATTAATAAAATTATATAAGTTTTTTTGCTAGTAAAATTGATTGAACGACGATTACCGTTTGAGCCGTGGGCGATAGCTTTTAAAGTGTATTTCAGTTTCCGGGGAAAAGATCGGTTGTTTTGGCTTGACGGAGCCCAATCATGGTAGCGACGCAGGAGCCATGGAGACTAGAGCCATTTACGATTCCGATAAAAAGGTCTACAAATTGAACGGTAGCAAAACATGGTTAGTACTTCCCATCGTTTCTTTCACGATCAAGCGCAGAAGTCAGACTGTCGAATCTCGTTTAGGATCACAAACTCGCCTGTCGCCGACGTGTTGATAGTATGGGCGAAATGTGATGACGGTCAGATCCGTGGGTTCGTCATCGAGAGAGAAGCTGCGGGAGATCGGTTGTCTACCCCAAAGATTGAGGGGAAGTTTTCTCTAAGAACGTCCATCACCGGCATGATTCTAATGGACAACGTAATCGTGCCAGAGGAAAATTTATTGAACGTTCAGGGACTCAAAGTAAGTCTTCTTAATAAACTAGGACTTACCTTGCATCCTTGACCAAAAGTATAAAGCACCTCCACAAAGTGACGTTCTACATCTAACTGAAAATAAATTAAAAAACAGTTTTATTGAAAAATAATATTTATTTTTATAATTTTAGTATTTTGTAGATTTTCCTTTCAATTTTATTACCGCCTTTTTCAAAGAAAATGCATCAAATCAAGAGGATGTTTTATATTTATGACTAATGTTGTATATTAGACGTTCTTCTTTAACAATAATCAATTGACTATAACGTTCTATATATAACGTAAAATAAATTAAAAAACAATTTTACTGAAAAATAATATTTATTTTTATAACAGTTTTAGTATTTTATTAATTTTTCTTTGGATTTTATCTCTTTTTTCAAAAAAATGTAATAAACTAAGAGTGTTTTATACCGGTCAAGGCAGTGTTATACGTCTTTATTTAATCAATTAATTATTAGTTATTCAATCAATTGGCTATTGATTATCATTATCACCGTTGATTATTATTGATTGGAATTTTTAAAAATATAGATATTAAAAATGAAGTCAATGACTACAAAAAACGGGTCACACTAATGTGACAATTATATTCCGCATAGTTTAAGATATCTAATAACAGAACTTGATAAAGGGACCATTCAGTTGCTTAAATAATGCGCGATATGGCATCGCCTGGGGTGCTTTGGGCGCAGCGGAAGCTTGCCTGAAGGTCGCTAGATCTTACACCTTGGAGAGGAAACAATTTAAGAGACCGCTGGCAGCGAATCAGCTTGTGCAGAAAAAACTGGCGGACATGATGTGCGACGTCGCGATCGGTCTTCAAGCTTGCTTGCGAGTCGGTAGATTGAAGGACGAGAATAGGTAAAATACATTTGAAAAAAGCATAGCAAAGAAACGAAAGTCTAATCTATTTCTGAATAATTAACGTAATATTTTACTACTTCTGGGAAAACCGACAATTTTTAATGTTTCCAGATTAATCACTCTTTTCTCGCAGAGTTATTGTATAAGATCTATGATTTATAATATATGTATATATCGTTCTCTTATACTTTAAAAGTGATACATCTAAAAAAATTAATTTTCTTTTAGAAAAAGGGAAAAATTATTTTTCAACTTAACAGAAAATCATTGTTTAATCAATTAAATAATGTTGGCAAAAGGAATATACTGTGAGGAACATGATGAAATATTATTTTTATAATTTTTGTTTTAAAACACTCTTTAAGAAATAAATGAAATTTTCTTTTTTTTTAAATGACTTTGGAAATTTTACAAAATTATAACAAATCCAGAATAATTCGTCAAAAGTGATATAGCTCGAAATGAATTACTGACAGTTTATATTTAGTTTTTGATTAACTAAAATGATTAAATTTAAAACAAAACAATTTCTTCAAATTTCAATCATCAAAACTGACTTAATTCTAAATATTCTCTAAAGAAGACTTTCCTTTTTATTTACAAAAACGATACAATTCTAAATGTGTCACTCTTGCAGTATTATAATCTCTTCGAAAATCTTGAGAGAACGACGCAAGTTCTCTCTAAAGCTATTTAGCAGACGGAAGTTAAGTTTCTTTATTATAGATGATTGATAGAGTAATTTTTATACCAAGCTCATTCATGATAATAAATATAAAATCACATTTTTTTGAGTTGTGTCACTTTTGAAGTAAGGGGGAACGATATTATCTTGTATATTACATGTGTATTAGCGGTATGAAGATTATCGCTAATACATAACGTACAGTCATATGCGTGTAACGTGTACGCACGCGTATAAAAAAGACGGAAATGATTTTATGTACCGTAGAGCTGCGCCGGAAATGATTTCCATCATTAAGAGAAACTCAGCCGTCAAAGCGCTGGAGATCGCGCGAGCCGCGCGAGATATGCTAGGCGGAAATGGGATCTCGGACGAGTACCATGTGGTTAGGCACATGATGAACCTGGAAACGGTTAACACTTACGAAGGTACGCGAGAAGATCGGCGATCATTTAGCACGTTGTTAACGCATCACGTCATTCGAGACTGTTTACTTTTTTCTTCTTTCTCTCTCTCTCTTCCAGGTACAAGCGATATTCACGCTTTGATTCTCGGGAAGGCGATCACTGGTATTGCTGCGTTCTCAGGATAAGCGACTCAAGTATCCGAATGATAAGACTGCCTTTGTACGTTACGAGTCATCGATTTGCATATTTACAAGCGTTTGATACTCAATTGTATCTCAATTTTTTTTTGTCTGTACGATCATTTTAACCTTTAAGTGGATATTTGGGAACACAGCTCTCCAAAAAGATAAGTTTTCTTAACTTTCTGAAGACGACATTGTCAGCAAAAAATAATTTTTTTACTTATTTTGCTAAAAAAGTCTTGCGAGTGAATAATCGATTAAGATATATATATATATTTTTTTTTATCGATATATAGCCTTTCTGATTAGAAGTACTATATATTTCAGTATTCAGTGCTACATGCATTTCTAACAGGACCAAATTAAAAGTAAAATCAAATTGAAAATATTTAATACTTTCTTTATACTTATTTGTACCTCTCCATCTTTAATTCTTAAGTGTATCTGCACAGAGAGAGATCTCGAATTCATACCGAATTTAATTTTAAAATAAATATTACAAATATGCAAAAAAGAATTAAAAACCTTAGAGGGTTAAAAATTTTGTTTGGAAAAAAATAAGAAATAAAAAAATCACATATCCACAAGTCTCAAAATTCATTATTTTTACATTCCTGTATCTCTCACAAGGATATAACTAATGTAAATTTAACTGTAACATAATATATTGGTAAAAAATATAACTATAAAAATTAAATTTTTTGGGATGTGTGTTCTGAGCATCCCATCCATCAACTTACTTCAAATTAACCTCCCTACTTATAAAGATTAATTATTTTTTTAAATGTACAAAATTCCTTTTGTACATTTTGAATATTTTGATATCTACTGATTATTAATGTATACTGATATATCGAATAGCCAAATTTTTATCTCTTGTACGAAAGGTTGAGGTCCTAATAAATTATATTGCACACGATATATTTAAAAAAAAACAATGATAGTACCTCTCCCTTCCTCTGGTATCCTCTTCGCACAACTTCACAATTTTCCGTCTCTGCATCCAGATCGCCGTGCGTTTCCGCCGCGAATAAGGCTTTAATCACTCGATACACTTTATTGCTCGTTTATTCTCTACTTTACGTTTTAACAATTTCATGGTGTGTGCTCTTTCATTATGCGCCGTCACACTCGCTCTCGCTCTCATCTTTCGTATCCCGCCGTTCATTCCGCTCGTTCATTCGCCCACGATTGCTATGCACGCGTGGCTCTCGACGGAAAACGGTCGCGCTGCGAGAAGCGCGAATCGAAACTTCCCTTCTTCTTCGAGGTCGATTTCCAAGTGTTTGCGATTCGCGCGATTCTGGATCGTCCTGGATCTCTCTTGCGGCCAAGATCAATTTTCATGAAATCGCGTTTCGAACTGAACGCGCTTAATCTTTAGAATAGGATTCCTATATAAAGCTTAAAAACGCGAATGTCGTGAAACCCGTATCAGACTATGCACTGTCAAAAAATTTTATCATGTGAAATTACGACAATTATAGTGAGTGACTTTAATAGTGGAAAAAATTACTGCTTATATAAATAAAATTATCATTTTTATAGTAATTAAACGATTTGCAAAAGCAAATTTAGATTGAAGTTAAGTTTAGAAATATTTGCGTAATAATTCAACAAATTACGTACAATTTTTCTTAAGACTCCTGACTACTCATCACGAATCTTCGGACTGATGAATTCAGAGCGAGAAAATACATAATGAAAATACTTGTGAAATATATTAAAATATTTTTCAATAAAATAATATTTGCACTTGATAGAGTATACTTGTAAAATATACCGAAAATTTTCCTTTTATTTCAAAATAGAATAAAATTGTATCTATCTTAAATCAATAGCTGTTATATAGCTTGTTCGTTTTCTAATTAAGATAATTCAATTTCAAATATATAGTTATTTGTTGATTATCGGATCACAAAGAGAGTTTTCGGTATATAAAAATCTATTCTATCGATTGTATATACTGTTTTATTAAAAAAATACATTTGAATATAGTTTGAAAGAATTTTTTTAGATATTCTCACTTCTGACATCATAATTCAAGACGGCCGTAATGAACAGGCAGGAAGCTATGTTATTGATATATATGATTTACAATTGATTGTAAAAATACGAATATAATATGTGTGATATTATCATCATGTTATATCTGTACAACAATTTGTATATTTACATCAAAACTATAAAATATATAATACTATTGTCATTGTGTGTGTAATTTTCCATTTAACATAAAAATAAACAATTGGAGTTAAAAATTTTACTAATTTTGTAAAAACACAATTTTATATATTTTTACTACAAATTGTGTAATTTTTACACATATTATTTATATAAACAAAATTAAGATCAGAAGCGGATTTTCGGATAAATTTTCGGATTTGCAATACAATCAAACTGAAATAATAATATTCCCCTCAAATTAAATTAGATCTTCGATTTGATGTTACTAACATCTTAAAACCTAAAGAACTTATTATTGAAAGATGTTACTTCAGTCGGGATTCGAGTCTGGATCTCCCATGCGAACGTCCTTCCAATTCGATCTCCAAGGCATGTATTATATTATTTATGTAACTTTAAATACTTCTTTTACAGTGTACGTACACTGAAAACAAATTTACTAAATTTTAATAAATATTTGTTTGAATAGTACTAACTAAATACTTACTAAATGTAAATATATATTTATTTATTACAAGAATTATTAATTTAAATATCTTTTTTATTGAGTATAACTATTTACAGTAAGTAAATGCTTGGTATTATTCAAACAAATATTTATTAAAATTTAATCATTTTTTTAGTGCATTGAAGATTGAACATTGAATGGAAGATTAGAATTTCATAATTTAATGAGATAATTTATTTTTAATCTATTTCGTTCTGATTAATTGAAATCTAATCTCCAACTTGCAATTCTGCAATGTAGAGATATATTCTAATACGGGCGTGAAACGCGTAACAGCATAGTTGTCGTTGAATATCGCGATTGAGATCGCGAGCTCATGAAAATTGGCGCCGCTGTCTCGAAACGATCGCTGGGAATCGAAAGAACGTCGTTGATTAGACATCTTTGAAGGCGCGTCCGTCACCGACGAAGCTTCCGGCACATCCGGAGAACGCGGTCAGCCTTTCGTTCAGTGGTCCAAATTATAAAAAAAAAACGATAGGATCGATATATTTACAGATCGATCGTGCTTTTTTCGTCCTCATCTTCATGATCTTAAATTAATCAGCCAGTAATGTACAATGCCGACATTCCTCATTCGCACTTTCTCTCTCTCTCTTTTTCTCGCTCATTCTCTCTTTCTCTCTCTCCTGTTCGATCTAATAACTAGGTCTCCGTATAAATATAATATGTATCTATATATCTATGTATAAGTGTTCGGTGCCTTTAGACTAATCTGATGACTAAATGAAAATATAAAAATCTATACGTCAGAGCTACGGTTGCTTATTTATTTATATGATGTCGCGCGGATGACCGGGTCTCGCAATTCGCGAGCGCTGCTGCCGCGCCACATCTCGCGATTTCATCGCAGATATTGTGTGTGTATCACAAATAAGCGCCGCGTGGCCAACACACGGCAGGAAAGTTGACTGAAACGGTTTGAAAGAAAAGCACGAAAGTAACGAGGGCTTATCCAAAATGTTTTTCAAGATGCCCTCGTTATTTCGTTAATAATTTCTCTAACAATACTCTAAAAGCAAGCACAATTGTCGCAAGCACCTTCCTTGCTCGAAGTTTCTTGAAAAGTTTCTTGAAAAGTTAATCACTAAATGACTAGAAATAACTCACTAAAAAAATTGGTTTCTAAATATACTGTCATAATGTAATAATTAATTAAATCGTTAATTTGTTAAACGAGTTTTCGAAGGGCCCTGTTATAATGACGTCGTTAAACAAAAATAAATTTGCTGGCAGTCAAGTGATTAACAACAACGAGATAAAAAAAGTTTCGAGATCATTTTTCGAGCATTTTTCACACTCGCTTCCAACTACCAATAAGTTCAAACCGCTGATCTTTTTCCCCTGAAATTTTATTTCGACTCTGGCTTCTATTAAAATTTTATTATGAATTTAACGGATTCATACTCTCCTAAGGAAATGCAATTCCTGCTTCCTACGAAGCTGTATCGGGCTGCTCTAAAAATTGCAGGGTTATAGCGAATGACAGAGAACGCGATCTCTACCATTTAGCGTTATCGTAGTTTCTTCGATCGCCAACGATCCTGGATTGATCGTTTCTCAGACTTGATTGCACACGATCCGCAATAACAACAACAAGGGCGTTAACACAAGCGACTCGAGTAATCATAAATAAATTAAGTTTAATTGCTAAGTAATAAAACGTTAATTACATATGTCAATGATAATTAATTTAAGTTTACAACACACGTCTCGTGCAAAAGTGTAAAGAACGTTTGTCTTTTTTTTTCTTTTTTTCGTGCTACACTCAATACCATTGTTGTCTTTTGTTTTTTTCTTGTTACTTATGTTGCGTGTATGTGTGTGTATGTGTGTCTCTGTCTGTCTGTGTGTGTGTATGTGTTTAATGATTCTCGACTACAATAAGCTCTTGGTAAAACGTAGTAACATTGTAGTTTACAGTAGTTTACAATCGCCTCTCCTCGCGGCCCCCGATCGCGGATGCGTATATGTGTGTGTATGTGTGTCTATTACATAATTACACATCTCGGTATCACATGCCGGGATCGAATCCTCGCCCCCGTTCCCGCGCGTTTCTTTTTTTTTTTTCAGATCGTCGGAGGATCCGTCCCCGCGGACGACGGCTCTTCCGAAAAAGAGGGTAGATGACCTCCCCCGGAGGTCCCTTATCAATCCACGTAGAAAAGTGGATTAAATCGAAAAGGATTTTGTACAGCACAGATTTCCAAGGGGACGACCTAAGGACGTCCAGTGAACGTCCTATGTACTAAGTACGTTCTCAGGATGTTCTCAGAATGTTCTCAGGATGTCCCACGGATAAAGTGTGTTGTGTGGGGGGAGGGGGAATTTGCGCGGCTCTTACAGTCGCGAGTTCGATCCCGTCATTTTCACAAGTATCGATCGTCGGCCCGTCGACCGCGCAAGAAAATTCAATGGCACGAACCGCGAACCGTCGCAACACAGCGTCGCTCGGGCTCGTATAACCACACTTGGTTGCCTCTACTAACGGATATACGTAATCGTATAAATAAATTAATGACTCG